CCAACCCCCCCCCTCCCCCCATCCCCACCCCCTTCTGCAGGGGCTTAAACTGAAGATGATGGTCTTAGTGTCTACATTTTGATGCAGAAGAATGGGTATCTTGACACTGCATGCAAGCAGGCTACATCTAAAAGTTTGAATGCACTTGTCTCCCATCTTTCCTTGCCTGTTCTCAAGTTGGTGGCGGTCTTGATCTTATCTGTTTTTTTTCTAAAGGATAGATGATGTCTCAATGGAAATTGACCATGCCAATGCATGCAGGTTTGGCAAGTGTGTCGTGCTTTGGGAGCTCTAATCCTACCTCTCCTGTTTTGACAGACTGGAGTGTAGAAACATCACTGACTACATGGGGAAAGGTAGTGTAGTCACTACAATGTAAATTAAATCTTTGTTCAACAAAGTGGCTGTTACTATTGCTAAGAGGCGCTCAGTTGAAAAGTAGACTAGTTTTTCTTTCTCAGCTGTACCAGGTCTATTGAGTAGCTAAGATTAGTTAGGCCAGGAACAACACTTGCATTTTGTTCCAGGGCAGAAAAACCACACGTTACACTTTTCAACCAGGGTTTAGGGAGAGGCTGACTGCACCACTGCTTTTCTGCTGTCAATTTGATGATACAACCCCAGGTGCACTTTGCAGCATCCTTGTACAAAGAGTAAGCATTTCTAACCCTATGAACCTCTTTTAGGGTTTGTCTTGGGGTAGTAAGCATGAAGCGTTGTACTTTTATCCTGGCATAAAATGGTTTCTCCTCGGACAAATGCAACCCCTGTTGTAGCACATGTAGCCTTAGAGTAACTCAAGTGTCCAAACTATGTTCTGACCCATGTACTGACTCATGGTTGATACCTATCAACCTGCTACCTCAGACTTGGGCAGTAATGCTTTATCTCAGCATGCCCAACTATGGATAAATTGAGGATGACTTGCCTTTACACATACAAAAGTTAGATCTAGTACTTGATGGAAAATGCCACTCACAGAGCATTCTACCCAGTGGCAGTGGCTTTCCTTTTTTCTGTAAGATATATAAAAATCCTTTATATATTTTAGGTGGTGGCTTTCTGTTTACTTGGGTTGTTGAACATGCAAAAATTGCAGCTGTGTGACTTCCGCATGCTAAGGTAAACAATAGAGGAGCTATGTTCCCCATAAACAGCTCTCAATTATTATGTGAGTGTTGCATGTAATGACCATAGAATAGATGGGAAAAAATGTGACTTTAAACTGGGTGTCCTTTTTTTTCCCTTCAAATATGCTGTGCTCAAAACTAACAAGGTCAAATGCACGTTGTGTGAAGAAACCACTCCTCCCCTTTCCCCCCTGTGCAATAAAATTAAATTCTGACTTAGGCTTTATCCGTGCAACTCCACTGAAGTGAAGCAGAACTTAAAACGCAAGTGTTTAATGAGAGGAGAATCATATCCATGTCTAGGTTGTGCTAAAATCTATAGTGCCAGACAGGTAACAGGTAACAGGTCCTGCCTTGGGCCTTAAACTGTAGAGGCACAGATGGAGAAAGAGAGAGGTGGGGTAAATGAGACAAGAGCATTGACATTGTAGGAGGTGTTTGCTGGAGCTGGCAGCCTGGAGGCAGAAAAGTAGGTTTTGAAGCATTCTTCAGGGGTAGAGGTACTGGGGGCGATGCAGCATGCTTGCAAACTGGATTGCTTAGTAGCACTTATACAAAGGTAGACCTCTGCAGACATCCATCCTCCTTCAAAACCTATGCATGAAGGAGGATGAACTGACCATACAAGCAAAACACACGGGTGGGGGGGATGACTGCAAGGTTAGGTCTTTTCCTTCCCCTTCCATAAATACTGGAGCTGAAGTTATCGCCTGCCTAATGTGTCTGAGGCCGACCCCAATCTTTATTATTTTGCTCTAATGAGGAATATTAAGCTGTTGTCCTAATGCAGGGATGGCCAACCTGTGGTACAGGCAGCCTCTGTGCATGACATGTGGCAGACAAAGGAGGGGACAGGCAGCACAGCAGCAGACAGAGCAAGAAATGGAAAACAGCAGCTGATCAGAGAGCAGGAAACAGCACCTGATTGGGCAGGGAAAGGGGATTGAAGTGGCATGCGGGGAGGGTGCAGGGCTGATTTGCGGCACCCCTGCCAAAAAGTTGGCCGTCACTGCCCTAATATACTTGGAAACATGCAGGCTTCTGTGAGTTTTCTGGGTGAAGCCTAATGGCTTCCAGTATGAGCTGAATTAGGAGGATTTTTATTTTTTCTAAAGTAGCACTAGAATCCAATAATTAGACCAGGTTGCTTTTTCTTGAAGGGCTAGGCTCAATAAAAGCCATTGAGAGGGGAAAACATGTATGCACACGCACTGAAAATGTCTCTCACTGCTGCATTTGTATCCTAATGTATCTATGGGGAAGTGACACATTAATTTTTCCATAATAAAATTACTTAATAATCCTGGTCCAAATATGTATTGAATCAATTAAGAGCAAACGATTTAGATTCTAATGGAGCTCCATAGGGGGAAGTAGAATCCAACTTCAGGGACCCCACCATAGCTGTCAGTACATTTAACATGTGATGGTATTTCCTCTGCTATGTTTGAACAGCTAATTTCTTGGTAACATTAAAACCCCTACAACTAGAACTAGTTGCTAATTTGGTTTTAGGATCTCCTGTTAGCTGCATATTATTTTCAACTCAGCTGAATTTTTTCTTGGCTATTGTCTTGGATTCTGGGTTTTTTGATCTGCTCAGTGGGATGGTGTTTGACAAGCCTCCTTTCTATCTTTGAGTCAGCCAAAACCTTGCCTCTCTGAACTACTGAACGGGAATTCATGACTAAAGTTTCTCCTTTTGCTTGTCTTAAGAAGCTGATGCTTCTTAAATAGCAAGTGTTAAATGTAAAATCAAGTGTGCCAGAGACCTGGCTAAAATGTTCCAGCAATAGGGCAGAGACCAAATTGCCAATTGATTGAAGCTTTTGGGGCCTGTGAAGCATCCTTTTCTGCATTTCCTAGATTAGCTTCTGATTTGTCATTCTGTATACTAGAACTACTGCTCTTCCTTGCATAGCAACTTATGCTTAAAGTACTTCTCTGCAAGCATCTAATCCTCATATATAGTCCTCATACATATTCGATGACCACGATGCAGAGAAGAATCTCTGCAGTCCCTACCAACTCCTCTGTATGGAGTTTCCCTCTTCTAAAAACTCTTCCCAGCATGCATTTCTGCAGCTGCTCCTTTAAATTTGG